AGGCACTGCACACCTTCACACTTGACTCGGGTGCTTCCCGTTGCTTCTTTCGTGACCGCACTGTCCTTGAGCAGCTAGCTCGGCCTGTTGCTGTCTCCCTCGCTGACCCCTCTGGGGGCCCGGTCCTTGCGACCTCCTCCACTGTCCTCCCTTGTCCTGCGGTTCCGGCCGGCACCCTGTCGGGTCTTTACCTCCCCTCGTTCTCTACAAGCTTGGTGGCGGGCTCTGCTCTCCAGGACGGGGGTGTTCACCAGTTCACCCCTGCCTATGAGCGTGTGACCCACTGTACGTGTGCTCGGACGGGTCGCCACCTGGCTACCTTCACTCGGCAGCCGGGGTGGGACCTGTACACACTGACTACTGAGTCCCCTCAGGTAGCTGCGTCTGCGTCTGCGTCAAGTCAGCTGTCGGCCCCCTGCTCGTGTCGCTCCCTGTCGCACCAGACCGTCCTCTGGCACCACCGCCTTGGTCACCCCTCAGTGCAACGCCTTCGTGGCATGCACTCCCGGTACCTTGTCTCTGGTCTTCCCAGGGTTCTCCCTCCCCTCCCACCCTCGCCTGCTCCTCCCTGTCTTCCCTGTGTCGAGGGGCGGCAGCGCGCCACTCCTCACTCCTCCTCGTTCCCTCCCACAGAGGCTCCCCTGCAGACTCTCCACCTGGACGTGTGGGGCCCAGCCTGCGTCCGTGGACAGGGCCACGAGCGGTACTTCCTGCTGGTTGTCGACGACTACACGCGCTACACCACGGTCTTCCCCCTTGCGCACCAAGGGTGAGGTCCCTGATGTTTTGATCCCTTGGATCCGCGCTGCTCGTCTCCAGCTCCGCAAGCGGTTCCAGTCGGACTTTCCCGTCCTGCGTCTGCACTCTGACAGGGGTGGTGAGTTTTCCTCCGACCTCTTGGCAGCCTACTGTGCGGAGCACGGCATCCGCCAGACGTTCACACTTCCGGCCTCTCCACATCAGAATGGGGTTGCTGAGCGCCGCATTGGCTTAGTCATGGAGGTAGCTCGTACCTCCATGATCCATGCGGCTGCCCCCCATTTCCTGTGGCCGTTTGCAGTGCAGTACGCTGCGCATCAGCTCAACCTCTGGCCCCGTGGCTCTGCTCCGGAGACCTCGCCCACACTGCGTTGGACGGGGGAGGTTGGCGATGCGTCGGTGTTCCGGGTCTGGGGATGTCGAGCCTTTGTCCGCGATACGTCCGCGGACAAGCTCTCCTCCCATGCCATTCCCTGTGTCTTCCTTGGCTTTGTCCCTGACGCGCCTGGGTGGCAGTTTTACCACCCCACCTCGCGCCGTGTCTTCCCCTCTCAGGACGTCACTTTTGACGAGTCGGTACCCTATTACCATCTGTTCCCCTACCGCACTGCGCCGCTTCCCCCCCCGCCGCTTTTCCTCACCCCAGGTGTCCCTTCGGTAGACCCCCTCCCTCCCCAGGGTCCTTCTCCCTCAGGTGTTTCCCAGGTAGACCCGGTCGAGCCTGTCGAGGTAGCGGTCGACTCTGGTCCTACGAGGGGTACTGCGTCTGGGGGTGCTGAGACAGGGGGTGCTGAGACTGGGGGTGCTGAGCCTGGGGGTGCTGAGACTGGGGGTGCTGAGCCTGGGGGTGCTGAGACTGGGGGTGCTGCGCCTGGGGGTGCTGAGACTGGGGTTGCTGAGCCTGGGGGTGCTGAGACTGGGGGTGCTGAGCCTGGGGGAGCTAAGAGTGACCGTGCTGCGCCTGGTGGTGCTCCCTCTTCACAGCAGCTGCGTGAGTGGTACTCTCAGCGTTACAGCCTCCGGCGTGGGGCTGCTGGAGTTGGGGGTTCTGCCGGAGTTGGAGCTGGTGGTGCTGCGGGTACTGTGTCGCGGCCGGAGCCTCCCTCCCCACAGCGGCTGCGTGAGTGGTACGCTCGGCGCTGCAGCCTCCGGAGCGGCGCTCCAAGCACTGGGGTGCCGCCCGCTGGAGGCCCTGGTGTTGCTGGAGGTGCTGCTGGTGCTGGAACTGCTGGAGGTGCTTCTGGTGCTGGAGTTGGAGCTGGAGGTGCTGGAGCTGCTGGAGTTGCCGGTGGAGCTGAGGACGCTGGGCCTCCTGGTGGTGGTGTAGCTGCTGACCCTGGGGTTGGTGCTGCAGAGGCTGGAGCTGGAGGTGCTGACGCTCGTCCTCCTGCAGGTGCTGGAGCCGACGGTGCGGCTGGAGCTGGTGCTACTAGGGGTACTGGAGTTGGCACTACTGGAGCTGCTGGTGGTGCTACAGGAGTGGGAGCTGCTGCTGAGGGTTCTGGTGCTGTCTCTGCTGGTTCTGGGGGCGCTTCGCGGCCGCGGCCGTACTTCGTTCCGCTCCTTCAGCAGGTTCTTGGTCAGCCGCCTCCTCCTTGTCTTGCTCCCTCCTTAGAGTGTCCTCCGCCTGTCCAGTCGCAGTCACAGTTACAGCCTTCCTCCCCACTCCCTGGTCCTTCTCCCTACACTGGTCCGACAGGCGGTCTTACGGAGCGTCGTGAGCCTGAGTCTCGTCATGTGTCGCCTGAGTCTCGTTCTGCGTCACCTGTTCGTGCTGCTCGCACTGGTCGTCGTGTCCCGCGTCAGCGTCCTCCTGCTGTCCCAGGCACTCACCAGATGACGCTTCGTCTTTCCACTGCTCCACAGCATGTCCCTCTGCCTTCTCCTCCTGCGTCCTCTCTTCCTGCCCTTGCCGACCCGGAGTCTGACTCTCTTCATGCTGCTAGTCCTACTGTCACGCGTCTCCTGGCCACTGCTGTCACTGACCCTTCCTTTGAGTCAGCTGCTGCGTCTGCCTTAGTTGCTGAGCTTGTCGACTTTGCTGCTCACTGTCGTCTAGACTACGCTGCGAGTCTTGTTGCTGAGTCTGAGTCTGTCTGTCCTCCGTCCGTCGGGGGAGAGTGTGCTCTTGGCACGGACGTCCTTGAGGACAGGCAGGAGGAGTTTGAGTGCTTTGCCGCTGCTGTACCTCATCTTGTGTCCATGCTGATTGCACCTGAGGGAGACCCGGATGCACCAGACATCCCGACTCCGCGCTCTTACGCTGAGGCGATCGCGGGTGAGTATTCCTCTCAGTGGCAGACAGCCATGGACGCAGAGATGGCATCCTGGAAGTCCACAGGCACTTACGTCGACGAGGTTCCCCCTCCTGGGGCGAACATCGTCAGTGGCATGTGGATTTTCAGGGTGAAACGGCCGCCAGGTTCTCCGCCTGTCTTCAAGGCTCGTTACGTTGCTCGAGGCTTCAGTCAGCGAGAGGGAGTAGACTTCTTCCAGACCTTCTCCCCCACCCCGAAGATGACCACTCTTCGGGTGCTACTGCACGTTGCCGCTCAGCGTGACTACGAGCTTCACTCTCTTGACTTCAGCACAGCTTTCTTGCAGGGCAGCCTGCACGAGGAGATCTGGCTGCGCCGCCCTCCTGGCTTCACTGGGTCGTTTCCTCCTGGTAACCAATGGAGTCTCCGGCGGCCGGTCTACGGTCTCCGCCAGGCGCCACGTGAGTGGCACGACACACTGAGGACTACACTTGCGGCTCTTGGGTTCGCGCCTTCTACTGCTGACCCGTCGCTGTTTCTGCGCACCGACACTTCGCTGCCGCCGTTCTACATCCTCGTGTACGTCGACGACTTGGTCTTTGCCACTGCTGACACTGAGGCTCTCACCCACGTGAAGTCGGAGCTGCAGAAGAGACACACGTGCACAGACTTGGGTGAACTGCGCAGCTACCTTGGCTTGCAGATCACCCGGGACAGAGCACGGCGCACCATCACACTGACTCAGTCACACATGGTGCAGCAGGTCCTTCAGCGCTTCGGCTTCACCTGGTCCTCGGCACAGGCCACTCCTCTGGCTACAGGTCACTCGCTCTTAGCTCCACCTTCGGACGAGTCCGTAGAGCCGAGTGGTCCTTACCCAGAGCTAGTTGGCTGCCTCATGTACCTGATGACTTGCACTCGTCCTGACCTTGCTTACCCTCTTGGCCTTCTGGCTCGCTACGTGGCTCCTGGTCGGCACCGACCGGAGCACATGGCTGCTGCTAAGAGGGTCTTGCGCTACTTGTGCAGTACATCAGGCATGGGGCTCGTGCTTGGAGGGAGGAGCTCAGTTGTTCTCACTGGGCACTCAGACGCTTCTTGGGTTGATGACCAGGCTACTCAGCGGTCGTCACAGGGTTACACCTTCAGCCTTGGCTCTGGTTCAGTTTCTTGGCGCTCTACTCGCTCGTCTTCAGTTCTTAGCTCCAGTTGTGAGGCTGAGATCTACGCCACAGCCATGGCTGCACAGGAGTTACGCTGGCTCACCTACCTGCTGACTGACTTGGGAGAGCGGCCTCGTTCTCCTCCAGTGCTGTACGTCGACAACAAGGCTGCCATTGCCTTGTGTGAGGAGCACAGACTGGAGCACAGAACGAAGCACATCGCTCTGCGTTACTTCCTGGCTCGAGAGTTGCAGCAGCGTGGTCAGCTTCGTCTGCGTTACGTGGCCACTCAGGCCAACACTGCTGATATATTCACCAAGGCACTTCAGTCTGGTGATCATCAGCGTTTCTGCACTATGCTAGGGCTTGTGCCCACCTTTCCTCACTTGCTGTAGGCTTTGCCTGTACTGTGATCTATATATATATTATATATATATATATATATATATATATGCATGCTTGCTTTGCTAGGCAGAGGAAAACTGTATTGTTTTGTGTTGCATATATGCCTCTGCAAGTGAACTGGCCTTGTGGCTCGTTGCTTGTGCTCAGTGAGTGTGGTGACGTTGTGATCCACCCTGAGCTTGCTTTGTCTTTCTTGACTGGTCTTGTGACCCCTTGCTCTCCCCCACTTAGCCTATGGGGGTGTGTCAAACATTATATTTGTTGCTATTCTGTAGGCTACAGTGGGTTTAGCCTTAGGGGGTACAATATTCTAGGTTTTCCTACTTGTACTCCCAATGTTGCTAGTCCAACCACTTCTCATTCTGACAGTGCGCTATGAACGCGCCCCTTCCCCACTGCACCCTCCCACCACCACTCACGTGATCTGGTTGTCGGCACAGGAGGTAGCGAGTGTGGAGATCTCATGCGGGCTCCACTCAATGGACGTGATGGGTTGGCGGTGGTGGTTGAAGTGCGCTATGAAGGCGCCGCCCTCCTTGCCCGCCCCCGCCTCCCGCAGCAAGCGCAGATCCCAGATGCGGAAGGAGCCGTCATCACACCCCGATGCCACCATGCAGCTTGCCAGTCTGGGACGTGGGGAGGGAGGGGGCACAGGGGGAGACAGAGAGGAGGGGGGCAGAATGCGCGAGCAAGGGCGGTGAGAGGGGCGCAGGTCCGAGATGCGGAAGGACCCGTCATCACACCCCGATGCCACCATGCAGCTTGCGAATCTGAGAACAGGGGAGAGAGGAGGGGGGCGCGGAGCGGGGGAGGAGGGCAGCAGGGAGTAGGAGGCCAGGGAGAGGAAGAGGTGGAGGCGGGAAGGGCAGAATGTGCATGCAAGGATGTTGAAGGGGGTGGGTGGGAACGAGTCAACAATGACAGGAGCAAGTTTTGAGGCGCCTCAAAACTTGGGGAGTGTGTGGGAAAGAGTCAACGATGATGGGAGCGAGCAAAGAGTAATGGCTCATGTAAAGAGGGTTGGTGGAGAGAGGAGAAGGAGTGGGGAGGGGAGGACCCGTAAAAAGGGGTTGAATGTTAAGCAGTGCAGTGCAGAGCAAAGCAGGGCAGAGCAAAGCAGAGTAGAGCAAGGCAAAGCAGAGCAAAGCAGAGTAGGGCAGAGCAGAGCAGAGCAGAGCAGAGTAGGGCAGAGCAGAGTAGGGCAGAGAAGAGTAGGGCAGAGAAGAGTAGGGCAGAGCAGAGTAGGGCAGAGCAGAGTAGGGCAGAGAAGAGTAGGGCAGAGAAGAGTAGGGCAGAGCAGAGTAGGGCAGAGCAGAGTAGGGCAGAGCATATCGGAGCATACCTGTTCCAGGAATTGACATCAATATCGGCGTCAAGCGCCTTGACTCGCAGCACAGAGGAGGGGAATGAAGATCGAAGATTAGGCAGCGCAGAGCACAGTGGAGCACATCACATTGCCCCCCTGTTCCAGGAGATGACATTGACATCGGCGTCATGAGCCTTTACTCACAGCGCAGGGCGGTACGGGAGAGGAGGGGAATGAAGATCGAAGATGAGGTTGAGTAGAGCAGCACATCACAGCACAGCACTGCGAAGCTCACCTGTTCCAGGAGATGACATTAACATTGGCGTCATGCGCCTAGACTCGCAGCGCGGGCGCGGTGCGCGAGGCAGCACGCACGTCCCAAAAGCATACCGTGCCGTCCACCCCGCTGGATGCAAACACCTCGGGCTCCGTGGCTCCACTGGTGGTGGTGATGTGGTGGGTGAAGGAGGGGGGGGGGGGGGGGGGAGGTCGGGGGGGAGAGGGGAGGGGAAGGAAGAGAGGGGAAGGAGATGGCATTTGAGTGCAATTGAAAGTCACCCCGCTGAATGCAAACACTTCGGGCTCCACTGGCGGTGGTGTTTTTAAGGGGGGAGGAGGGAGGGGATGGAGGAGAGGGGAGGTGGAGAGTGGGTAGGTGGGTTGCAATGTGAGGTGTAAGGATGGAGGGACAGCAGGGAGAGCGCTGCTCTTGGCATACAGACGGTTAGTGCTCTTGGCATGCAGACAAATCTGCCTTGACCCATGCCCCATCACCCATGCCCCATCCCCAATGCCCCATTCCCCATCCCAAATTCACCATCCCCCATGCCCCATCCCCAATGCCCCATTCCCCATCCCAAATTCACCATCCCCCATGCCCCATCCCCCATCCCACATGCGTCATGCCGCATTCCCCACCACACACACCTGTATGTCCTCCACGCTGCCCTGGTGCCCTCTGAACTTGCTGTCGCCCACCACCCACTTGCCGCCCTCCACTGGCCGCCACTCCGCTATCCAGCCCTTGCAATCGCCTGCGCGCAAGGCAGAGCGGAGGCGACCGGGAGGGGCAGAGGCCACAGGTAGGGGCAGAAGCGACAAGGGGGGGCATCCCAGTACATGCACGGGGGCAGTGGGGGTAGGGAAGAGGCACCAGGAACAGAGGGAGGTGAAGTCATAGCAAACGGAAGCAGGGGTGCAGGCACGCAAGCATACCGAGACACGCATAATCGGATGCATCATGATGCATGTATGATGCATTAGCCCACCCAAATGAGCCTTTAAAACCGTGCATGAAGCGAAAATCCCAACTTCGCCGACCTTCCACCTGCACTGCGACAACCAGAGCGGGATCAGAATCGTCAGCCACACCAAACGCATCGCGCTGTGGTATTTCTTGCGAAGGTCGATCTGACCTAGTGCCCAAGCGGGTGACATGACAACCAGGCCCTCAGATTCGTTTTTGGCCTCTCTGATTCGTCAGACTAGTACACAGTATTAGTCTGAAACTCTGAGAGTTGGCATAAAAAAAGGCTGAAATTTCAGAGTGTCTTTAAATAAAAGTCTGAACATTCGAAATCAATGTATTCAATGCTTGATGAGAAATGTATTCAATATTTCGTTCATCTGATACCGAAACAAGCAAGACTAAGGGGATTTCCGGGAGAATGCTCTGACAGGGCAAAATTTTGTGTCAGGGCGAATCTTGTGGTGTGAAAGGGCGAATCTGCAATGTCAGGTGGAATTGTTTTGTGATTGGGCGAAATTGTTGTGCTCTGACAACGCAAATCTGTGGTGTCAGGGCGATTTTGCTGTGATTGGGCGAAACTTTGTGCTGTAAGGCGCGGATTTGCTGTGTCAAGGCGATTTTGCGTTGACAGTGCGAATCTGCTCTGACCTGTGAAGTCCGGATCACCAGTCAAGATCGTCTTTGTACTCTGAATGATCAGAGTACACTCCTGGAAAACTCTGAAATTTCAGAGTTAGCCTTAAAAAGGGTCTGAAACTTTCAGAGTTATGGCCCTAAAAAGTCTGAAATTTACAGAGTACACTGAAAAAAAAAAAAAAAAAAAAAAAAAAAAACTAAAATATCAGAGTTTTTTGGCCAAATCAAAGAAAAAAGTCTGACTTCTGAGGGCCTGATGACCACCGACTTTCTCACGAAGCGACTGCCCCGTCCGAAGTACCAGCACTGCTCCGAACTGAGCGGTGTAGTCAAGCAAGTCAAGACTTGCTACGGCGAGGAATGGAGTGGGGTGTTACGAACAATAAATTGAGAACTACTGTACATTCCCACCAGCATCAAGTCAAGAACACAAACGCATGTATGAAGGCGAAAAATCAGACATGACGCGAAGAGTCACGTACGGTTGGTAGCATCTGGACCGTCGGAGCAGAAGCATCGTGATGTTATTGTCAGAATGTTCTCATTGTCTAGTGAGTACAACCCAAATTAGGGTTTGCTATATGTACTGCCCTGCTTACTAGTGAACCTCTCCTTTCTGCTTCTAACTTTCTGCTTGCCTTTCTAACATGCTATCAGAGCAGGTCGACCCCCCCGGGTCGATCCTGTGGATGGGCCCACCTAAGTCTTCCGCTGCTGTCCTTCCTATCGAGCGCCTCGGGCGCGCGACCTTTCCTACCTGCCGCGCGCTAGAGGCGCGTGGCGTTTATTTTCTTCCCGCCGTGCACTTGGGGCACGCGGCGGTTTTCTGCAGGGCGCGCCCCCCCCCCCCCCCCCCCCGTCGACCCTCGCGTCGCCACAGGGGACCCGCGCGCGCCCCCCCGTCGGCTCTCGCGCTGCCTCGCTGGACCCGCGCGCCGCACCCCGTCGACCCTCGCGTCGCCTCCGGGGACCCGCGCGCGCCCCCCGTCGACCCTCGCGTCACATGCGGGATCTGCCCGCTGCCCCCCGTCGACCCTCGCGTCGCCCCCGGGGACCCGCGCACTGTCCCGCTGGACCCGCGCGCCACCCCTGGAGCCGCGCGCGACCCCCCCGCTGCCCCGCCGCGGCGCCCTGGGGAGCCGCGCGCGGCCCCTGGTGGCGCCCTGGGGGCCGCGCGCCGTCCCCCTCGCCGTCCCCCGCGCTCCTACCCCGTGCCACCCGTTTTAGGGTTTGGGGGTGGGGAGTGTGGGGGTGGCGGTTCTGGGGGTGCCGGTTGTGTGCGCCGTCCCCTACTCCTCCTCCTCCTCCGTCTCCCACTGCTGCAGCTGCCGCTGAGGTGGGTGGGTGTGTGGGAGCCGAAGGAGTGGTACTAGGGGGGTGACGTGGGAGTGGAGCTAGGGGTGTAGCAGTGGGTGTGTGAAAGGGGGGTGGGACAGTTGGGGGAGGTTGAGCGGAGGCTGCCGTCTTGTCGTCCGCAGCACCTGTAGTCCGGGGTAGGTAGAGTTAGGAGCCATAGCTAGGTAAGTCCTAGCTAGGCAAGAGAAGTTTAGGCAAAAGAAGAAGAGGGAGTTCACTAGAAAGCAGTAGGATACATATAGGAAACCCTAAGGGGTTGTACTCGCTATAGAGTACCCCACTGCAGGCTAGAGAATAATGACATTCTGACACACCCCCATAGCCAAAGTGGGGTGTAATCAGCAGAGCAAGCAAAGCAGAACAAGCTCAGGGTGGATCACAATGTCACCACACATTCTGAGCACAAGTACAAGAAGCAATAGTTTAAAGTTCACAATTATGAGCAAAGCTAGAGGCTATCGCAGAGGGCAAGTGAGGAGGAGGAGGCAAGAGTGAGAGGAGAGGAGATAGGAGGCGACGGCTGAAGCTGCAGACACACGGGCAACAGGAGTCACACTGGCACAGCGGCTACCGGAACAACGCTCCGGACTACTGGAGTAACTGGCTCCGCGGCTAAAAGTAGCGGCAGACGAGCAACGGACCCACGGGCGACTGGCACAGCTGGCTGCGACTGGGCTACCGGAGCAACTCCCCGGACTACAGGTGCTGCTGGCGACACGACGGCAACCTCAGTTCAACCTCCCCAAACAGTCCCACTCCCCCTGACACACACCCCCTGCTTCACCCCTAGCTCCACTCCCCCTTCACCCCCCTTAGTACCACTCCGACGGCTCCAACAGGTCCACCCCCCTCAGCGGCAGCTGCAGCACTGGGAGACGGAGGAGGAGGAGGAGCAGGGGACGGCACACAGAAGCTGCACCCCCATACCCCCCACCCCCAAACCCTAATTCAGGAGAACGGGCAGCAGCAGGGGTGGGGCGCCATCAGAAGCACGGGGGACAGCGGGCAGCGCAGGGGCAGCGAAGAACGGGCCGCCCACGGGCCTGGCACAGCCGCCCGAACCGCGCGCAGGCGGCCCGAGCCGCGCGCGGGCCTGGCGCAGCCCGTACGCGCCGCGCGCGGGCCTGGCGCAGCCCGTACGGGCCGCGCGCGGGCCTGGCGCAGCCCGTACGGGCCGCGCGCAGGCTGTACGAGCCGCGCGCAGGCCACGACGGGCGACGGGGGGCGACGCGCGGGTCCCCGTCGCCCGTCGCAGCGCCTCCCGGGAGCGACGCGCGGAGTGACGGGGCAGAAATCCGCCGCGCGCCTCGGGGCGCACGGCGGGCAGACAACCGCCGCGCGCCTCGGGGCGCACGGCGGGCAGAAAACCGCCGCGCGCCTCGGGGCGCACGGCGGGCAAAAAACCGCCGCACGCTCCGAGCGCGCGGCGGGATGAAAAATCCGTCGCACGCCACGGGGCGTGCGACACAGAGAGTGGCAGTAGCAGCGGAAGCAGTGAGGTGGTGAGCCCACCCACAGGATCGACCCAAGGGGATCGACCTGCTCTGATAGCATGTGAAAATTGTAGGTAGAGTTAGGAGCCATAGCTAGGTAAGTCCTAGCTAGGCAAGAGAAGTTTAGGCAAAAGAAGAAGAGGGAGTTCACTAGAAAGCAGCAGGATACATATAGGAAACCCTAAGGGGTTGTAGTCGCTATAGAGTACCCCACTGCAGGCTAGAGAACAATGACATTCTGACACGGGGCGCTGTCCTGGTAGCCCAGTCGTAGCCAGCTGCGCCAGTCGCCCGTGGGTCCGTTGCTCCTGCCGCTCAGAGTTAGCCGCAGAGCCAGTTACTCCAGTAGTCCGGGGCGCTGTTCCGGTAGCCCCTGTGCCAGTGTGACTCCTGTTGCCCGTGTGTCTGCAGCTTCAGCCGTCGCCTCCTATCTCCTCTCCTCTTACAGTCTCGCCTCCTCCTCCTCACGTGCCCGTTGTGAATGCCTCTAGCTTTGCTTGTCCTTGTGAACCTGCTCTATGACTGCTTGCTGTGCTGATTATACCCCACTTTGACTATGGGGGTGTGTCAGAATGTTATCATTGTCTAGTCTGCAGTGGGGTACTCTATAGTGAGTACAACCTAAATTAGGGTTTGCTATATGTACTGCCCTACTTACTAGTGAACCTCTCCTTTCTGCTTCTAACTTTCTGCTTGCCTTTCTAACAGTTATAACTGAAGGATCGCAGTGGATAGGATAAAGCTGCTAAGTATGAGAGAACTGTGAAGTCTCTGTAGTGACCTTGTTAATAAATTGAGAGAGAACAAGATGATTATAAGATAGGAGTACAAGAATATAAATAGCAATCCTAGCTAGCCATGTACTCTGAGGGGGTACATTCCCTTATTAACTGAATTGCATTGCTACAGTAACCACGACTATTGCCATTCTAGACAGTTACCACGTTGCACTTCGCAACAGCCTTGTGCGGTTACTGGGCAGTCAAGGGTCACGACCGTTGACTGTCTTCGACTGTTGACCTTCGGGTGACCCTCGACCTTCCGCGTGCTCTATATGAGCTATTGCGGTACTGATACAGGCGCTTGCTTCGTTATGAAGTAACGCGAGAGTGGAGAGCCTTCGGGAATGCTTGTGATAACCTTTCGGTTATTCCAACACTCCCCTTCATTCCTGAAGGTGAGCCACGTGGGACTTCTTGGTGATCCCGCAGAGGTTGGCGCAGTGCTGAAACTGTTGACGTGGCAGTTTCTTTGTCAAAAATTCGGCCGCCATGTCGCCAGTTGGGCAGTACGTGAGCTTGACCTTGCCTTTGTCAATTTCGTCCTTGACGAAAAAGTAGCGAAGGGCGATGTGTTTCGTGCGGTTCACGAAGCCGGGCTTGTTCGCGATCTTGATCGCGCTCTGTTTGTCGCAGAGTAACGTGAAGTGCCCGTTCATCGTCACTTTCGCTTCGTGTAGGACCTCCATCAGGTACAGTCCTTCGCGAACGGCT